CTAAAAACAAAATTTCACAGTTTACACATCTAAACACATATACAATTAGTTTGAGCATTATTTTAGACTCCTCATTATTGTTATTGTAAGTGGAGGTTAGTCAAAAATATATAAGGTGACACACAGTAGAAACATCTAAATTAATAAAATGTACATTTCTATAAAGTCTAATTCATATCCATGTTTTTAAATGTGAAAAGGGTGATTTGTTGTTGCTAATGTTTCTTTTCCCAGCAGATGTAGCTGTAAACTTTGGTCTAAATAAAAAAAAAAAACACTTTTATATAATATAGCTGGGGACCTTTTGCAGACTTTCACAATCAAAGCAGTGTGTTTTTAGGTCAAAGAGTCACTATGTCCACAGTTACTTATGTAATGTGTGTGCAAAAATACTTTATTTTGGTTTGGCCTTATTTGGGTTTTCAGAGAGCTAAACAGTTTTAACACATAATAGCGTGTCACAACTCCTCCCTGGGGGTTTATACATCTGCGCTGGAGATGCAGGAGGTGTTAGGGTGGTTCAAGTCTGTATGTCGCATTTGGCTAGAGCCCCTAATTTCAATGGCCTGGTTGTGTTTGCTAGTGTATCTTCCCATCTCCTGCTGAGCAGTGTTGTGTTAGTGTAAAAGTAGTAGTAGTAATAGACTGCAGAGTGCAGAATTAAAGTTTACATTCTTTCTCCAATATTCATTTTGTGCAACTGGATGAGCCTGACTTGAGTTCTCACTTACGTATTTGTGCAATTTGTTGATTTGACAACATATGTGGTATTGGGTAAAATGTACGGATAATGCCATGCTAGTTAATCCTAGCCAGTAAGCTCACTCTTAAGCTGAGAAGAAAAAATACAACACATGATTTCTCTCTGTTTTTCTCCCTAATCTAATTCTTCCAGCTTTCTGGTTTGACTGGTGTTTGCTTTTGCTACACTGGTTAGAAACTGTAAGCCAGTGAGCAATGTCAGAAACCTTCAATGTCTCAATCTAGGCTACATCCTGAGCATAATGATCTAATCACCAAACACAATTTAGCAGTGCGACAGTCCAACATCCAGTCTGGCTGGTCCTAATATATACAATAATGGAGTATTTCAGCAGCAGGGTGTAGTCTGAGCATATAAAGGGCTCTTTCTTGCTATACTCTTCCCTAGTCATGGGGCACCCTCCCATCAGAAGATCTGTTGTTCTGCCCAAGACAAGACAACGCTTAACACACCCACTTGTTACAAATACTCTCCAAAAGCTCCTTTGGCACATGCATTCGTCAGGCTTGAGCTTTTTTTTTTGCTCTGTCTGTGCTATTTCTGGCAGTAGAAAGAGAGTGAACTTGTGAGGCATCATGAGTCTGGTCCTGGATGGGATGGAGAGTGTGTGCTGGCTTGTGTTACAGCAGAGCTTTCTCTAAATTCATCACTGATAGCAGCGGGCCAGCTTAAAATACACAGTTGAGTGGTTCATTTACAGGTCTGCTGATCATCATTGTCATTGTCCTCTACAATAAGCGCTTAAGGCTCAAATCTATTTAGAGAAACAGAACAATCAACACAGCTGAGGCTCTTTTAACAGTAGCTGAGCTTAATTTTCCCCTTAAGCAGCTTCCAATGATAGAAACGCAGCTCTGTCGGTATCCTAGATCAATTCCTATTCATCTGCTTACTCTAACACTAACGTAAAGTGATGTATTCAAATTAGAGAGGTCAAGCTCAGTATGGCAGCTCTGTATTACTTTCATATAAAGACTGAAAATATTAAAGGACAAACAGTTCAGATTCTCAGCTGCAATTATATTGGGACTATGACGTTGGGACACAGCCAATCATAAATGTTGGACATGCTAAGTGGAAACACCTGCGGCCACATGTCTGTAAGCTGAATACACTCGATAGAAATCACCATAAAAACTACCAATAAAACTGTGTTACATTACTGAGAAAGATTTTATTATAATTGTATGGAAAATGTCATTTTGTGTATAGTGAGAATCACTGTTCACAAATACCATTATACACAAGACAATATGCAAAAAAATGTTATTGTTGGATGTATACAATACAATGTATACCGGAGAGAATAATTAAAGTTTGAAAAATGATCCAGGGTGGACACAACCTATCCTCGGCAGGTCATGCAGATAATGTGTTTGTCTTTTCCTCTACCACCTGCAAGAGTGGGACAGGAAACCCTTCCCTGAAACCTGCCTTGCCCTTTCCCATCCTGCTTTAAGTATCTGCCCACTACGTTCGAAAAATATATATCTACATGAGCTTCAGTGTCTACCCTGACAGACACTAAAACCTTTAACCTGGCTGTTAAAAAACAAACAAGATAACTTGTAAAAAGAGAAAATATATGCAAACAACTTTACAAAGAGGGGATTAACATTAAGCATTCTTGTACAATAGGTTTGAATCTGCTTATGTGTCAGTGTCGCCTACACATACTAGTCTTACAAATGCTAAGCAAACACAACACAAGGCTTACTGTTTAAAGCAAAAAACATCAGACACTCTGTTTCTATAGTGAGTGATGTAACTTCTGTAGTAACTGATTCCTCACAAGATTCCTTTAGAATCCTTCAAAAGAAAACAGCTGTGGACACATTTTCCTCTCCCTCTTCCCAGTACATTGATTGTATTATCATTCTAGTTTATCTAAAAATTTTAATATGTGCCGAACTAAAACATTCTTAGTTCCAAACTGCTATCGATATTATATAACTTGTTACTTGGCTTGTTAAACACAGACAATATGCCTTTATCTGCAAAAACATTTCAATTAATCTATTAGAATCAGGGTTGTTTTCCACGGCTGAAATATCAGGGGTAGATTATATTACATTACTGACCTGATAATGAAAATATTTGTCCCAGTCAACCAACATTACAGTAAATTAAATATTTGATACCAGCAGATGGCGACAAACCCTATGAGACAGATGCTTCATGCAGGATTGCTCCTGCTTTAAAGGAGAACACATACAGAGGCAACAACTGTTGTTCTGTGCTTTTTGGCAAGTACGTTCACTCTTGAAACGAGACCACAATGACACAAACAGGCCCCTTTAGAGCATATATATTCTGTTTACGAGCGTTAGTCAGATAGGTCTCCTGCAAATGTTTATCGAAGACACTAATTTATAGACTGTGTACATTGGTAGAGCCTCATAGAGCCTCAAGCTCACTAGATCATGTCTTCAACAGGAAGAATTCAAACTGCTGTGCTGGGACAGTTAAAATGTACTCTGCAGTCACAAGAAGCACAATTTGTTTTGAGGCAAGTTTATAGTAGAAAGGCCAGCTTCAGGTCAGGGTTTTATTGTTTTCTTCAGCCTTGCCTTGTGGCTCTGCAGGACGAGCTCTCGGACATGTGTTTCCATCAGGAGGTGGTGAACATGCCTGGAGAGAAAATAGGCCAAGCGAGGAGCATGTTTGGACAGGACAAAGTGATAACATCTACCGGGCCACTGTGGGATAATGTTTTGCAGAACGTTATCAAAGCTTTCATTGGGGTGTGGGAAATGAGCAGCCTTTATCAGAAACTGATATTCTTTTTGGTTTCTTGACACAGTACAAGGGTAATAGCTAACCAAGATAAAGATTCAGGTATATTTTATGGTAGAATCAACTC